CAGCGCCGGGAGAGGTTTCGTGGCTGGGATCTGTGCTCAAGGCACCTGGCAGAGAAGGAGACGATGCATTTAAAGCAGTGCTTTGAGTTATACACAAAGGAAGGCCCAGCCAGGGAAATGACACCAGCTGGAATTAAGTATGATGTTGCTGTGCCAGAGGCTTAAATAAATAAATGCGGTCTTTGTGCCCTTTAGAGAAGGAATGAACTTCTTGGCACTGGCACCAACCTTTAAATTGGTTTCTCTCTTTCCTCTCAGACACCGACTGGTGCATCTGAGCTGAGCGGCTGCCGTGCACAGTGGCCGTTCTGCTGGGCTCCTTCCCCGCCTGCCCTCCTGTCCCCTTCACACACACACACGCACCCCCCAGCTTTCCTTCCTTTCCTCCAAACCTTCAGGGAAGGATCCGACCCCCTAAGAGTGAATTACCAGCTCTTTGGAGAGAACCCCTGAGTTACCGAGCAGCAGCAAACAGGATGGGCTGATCCTGGAAGCCCTGGTGCCTGGGGAGCACTGGGCATCCCCGCAGCACGTGTCCCCTGTGCCACCGCTGTCCCCACCGGACTTGGGCAGAAACAACCGCTCCCAGAGGGAGAAGGGCCGGACGACGCTGTTGCTTTGCAGGGTGCCGAGCAGAGGGGCTGAAATTGTCCCCCACGAAGGGTGCGGGTCCCTCTGCGGCTGTGGCCGGGTGGGAGAGCAGGGCTGGGTGGCAGGAGGGGTGGCCCAAGGCTTCGGGGTGTTGAAGCACTTGGCCATGGCCTGGGTGGAGGTTCACCCTGGGGAACGCACGTGGCTGCCCCACAGTTGTCACTTCATGTCCTTTGGCAGGGAGGTGCTGCCTGGCACAGGCAGCATGGGGGGGGGTTGCCTGCAGGGCGTTAAAATGACAAGGAACGGAGCAGGGCAGGTCGGGGGGATCCTCGGGATGGGGACTCTTGGGGACAGGGATCCACTAGGGCAAGGGTCTTCAATGAGAGGGCTCCTCACTGACCACAGGGATGGGGATCCTTGGGGACAAGGATCCTCAGAGTGGGGATCGTTTGAGGCAGGGATCCTTGGCAACAGGAATCGTTAGGAATGGGGATCCTTGAGGACAGGGATCCTTTGGGACAGGATCCTCGGGGACGAGAGTTCTTTGGGACACGATCTTTGGGGGTGAGGATCCATTGGGATAGGGATCCTTTGGAACAGGGATCCTTGGGGATGGAGACCTTAAGGGTGGATCCCTTGGGGATGGGATCCTCAGGCAAGGCGATGCTCAGCGACAGGGATCCTGGGAGATGCAGATAGTTTGGGACACAGAGCCTCAGGGACGGGGATCCTCGGGCAGAGGGATGCCCTGAGGCAGAGTCCTTGGGGCCGGGGGTCCGTGGG